ACACGTTTGCTGCAGTGATTTATCGTTTAACAAGTTGACTGGTGAAGTGAATGGAGTACAAAGAGCACCAAGATATACGTAAGTTCTACAATCTGAGATTGGAATGTTAAAGAGCTAGAGACTTTCCATGTGAATACCACAGTATCATGATTTTTTTTGACATGTTCTGACATGTTCTTTCAGCTATTTGACTGGAAATAGTCTTTCTGGAGATGCTGGATCGGGTGTTTTTCTCAATAGCCAATCTAATATGTACGTATAAGCTTTCCCTTGTCTGTATGACTTGAGATATTTTTGGTCATGTCACCTAAATCTTTTTACTAGTTTCCTCACAGTGATCTCTCTTACAACAATTTCTCATGGTCGTCTAGCTGCCAAGAAAACAGGTATGGACATGAAATCTCGGTAGATAGAATACGTCTGCTATATCTATTTTTAATAACCTTCTAATAATGAAACAGTAACATTAACACATACCGGAGCTCATATATTAAGAACAATTTGTAAGCACATTCTTCTGCTTTATCTTGCAACAATCAAGCACTTGAAACGGTAGTGCGGATGAGATGCCTTAACTTATTTGGTAATCTTGTCATACAGAACTGGACTTCTTCCATGTGAGAGTCCAATCACCTGCACGAGTTGTAAGTACATAACATGCAGTGCTTACCTTGTTATTTCTCTCTCTATTGATGCTGATAGTCATTATGGATTGTAGATCAGCGATCACTACATATAAATTGTGGTGGAGAGAATGTAACTATTACAAACTCTTTTGGTAAAATAACTTATCAAGCTGATAACAGTAAAACCAGCGCCGCATCAAATCAGCACTTCAAAAATTGGGGAATCAGTAACACGGGTGTATTTTTCACGAATTCTCCTGATCTTTATAATGAGGACAATACGTACATCATTTCACCTAGCTTAACACTATTTGGAGATTCTCCTGATATTTACAAGACTGCACGTCGATCTGCTATCTCTCTTGTTTATTATGCGTTTTGCTTGGATAATGGAGACTACAATGTGAAACTCCATTTTATTGAGATTCAGTTTTCAGACGAAGAACCATACAGTCGTCTCGGTAGACGCATATTTGATGTCTATGTTCAGGTAAAGCGTCACTCTTTACTGAATAATTGTTTTTCTCTAATCAAGCATGGAAGTAATGTTTATTTGCTTTCTTTTCTTTTTCTCCCCTATTAGGGAGAATTGTTCTTGAAAGATTTTAACATCAAAGAGGAGGCCAATGGGAATTTGAAGCCAGTTGTGAAAGAAAAGAAAGCTGTTAATGTGACCAATCATATGTTAGAGATTCGGTTGTATTGGGCGGGGAAAGGGACAACACTCATTCCCGAAAGAGGAAATTATGGTCCTCTTATATCTGCAATCTCATTGTGTCACAGTAAGGATCTTTCTCCTCTGCTTGTTGAAACACCAAATTATTTGACTATCTCAAGGCTTGCTTCAGCAACCTTGTGTCACAGTATTTATATTGTGGCTTCCCTCACATCGACTTGTTTCACTCTCAAGTGGCCATAACTGCGACCTAACGATAATATTCATCTTTCAAAATTTCAGGTCTGGAGCCACGATGTGGAGGTCCAAAAAAAGAAAAAAAAACTACTTTGTTAAAGATATTTTTCTGTAGCTTGGTGAATATATATTTACAGTTTTAGTGTCTGATTTGCAGCGGAGAAAACAAAACATCCCACTAAGTATGCACTAATTTTTGGGGTAACAAGTGCCTTGGTGATAGTTATTGTCTTGGCTCTGGGATTATATGCTCACAGAAGATGCAGAGGAGACAAGAACACGAGAGAAAGAGGTAGTAGAGCTCAGCGAGTATATGAATATACATTCCTCATATGTGCTATTAATGATTTTTTCTTTGGAATCTGAACATAGTAGATTTGAGAGCCCAGGGTCTGCAAACGGTTTGCTTTACTTGGAGGCAACTGCAAACCGCAACAAACAATTTTGATCGATCCAACAAACTTGGAGAAGGAGGCTTCGGATCCGTATTCAAAGTACAACCAAAACAGTTCTTCTCAAAGCTTAAATAACTGAGAAAATATGGCTATTTTTTTTGTTTCTGATATGAGAAACTTAATGCAGGGAGAGCTGCCTGATGGAACTATCATAGCAGTCAAGCAGCTTTCTTCCAAGTCATGCCAAGGAAACCGCGAATTTGTGAATGAGATAGGCATGATTTCAGGTTTGAATCATCTGAACCTTGTGAAGCTTTATGGATGCTGTGTTGAAAAGAACCAGTTGATGCTCGTGTATGAGTACATGGAAAATAACTCCCTTGCTCTTGCGCTTTATGGTAAATATCTTTTCATTAGGTTTCGAGTCTAATTACATATATGTTCTCACATGTAATGTGATATCATTTCTTTTTTGGTTTACATCCATTGCCAGGAAAGAGTTCCCCGAAATTGGACTGGGCTGCGAGACAAAAAATCTGTGTTGGAATCGCAAGAGGGCTTGAATTCCTTCACGAAGGATCGATGATTAGGATGGTTCACCGTGACATAAAAACCACTAATGTGCTTCTAGATGCCGACCTTAATGCAAAGATATCTGACTTTGGATTAGCTAGACTCCATGAAGAAGAACACTCTCACATTAGCACCAAAATTGCTGGAACCATGTATGTAGTATTGTATAAACACCGTAGCATAGAAGCATAATAGTCTCCTACAAGCTCTGAATGAATCTTCATTTCTCTTATATATGCCATAGCGGATACATGGCTCCAGAATATGCGTTGTGGGGTCACTTGACAGAGAAAGCAGATGTCTACAGCTTTGGGGTTGTGGCAATGGAGATTGTTAGTGGGAAGAGTAACGTGACAAAGAAGGGAGGAAATGACAGCTTCTCACTTATCAATTGGGTAACTGTGGCGCTTTTACCTATCTTTTAGCCTTTTTCTCTTCCACAATTCAATTTCCAATTCATATTTTTTACGTCAAATGTCAGGCGCTGACACTGCATCAGAAAGGAGACATATTGGAGATCGTAGATCCGATGCTCGAAGGTGAATTCAACAGCAACGAAGCAGTGAGGATGATCAATGTTGCTCTCGTTTGCACAAACTCATCTCCTTCTTTAAGGCCTTCAATGTCGGAAGCCGTGCAAATGCTAGAGGGAGAGATGGAAATAACAGAGGTTATGTCAGATCCTTCCATGTACGGACACGACTTTAGTTTTTCAAATCTGAAGATTGCAAACAGTCATGCACTTGGTAACTCAAACATGTGTGGTGTGTCCGGAAATGAGATATCAGCGACGACAACAACGACATCCTCTGTGTCTGATATGTACCCATTATACCCAGAATCCATGATCCTAAACTCCACCACCGAAATTTCTTCTTCCTCACTATAATATCAAAAGGCTGTGCACATTGCCACTTGATGACATTTTAAGTTATTGGTAAAGCTGTGAATGATTAGATATAAAATTAAAATAATTTTTTTATTTTACTTATTTATATGTATTCTA